TCCCAGGCTGGGCTTAACTTGCAATCTTTCTGTCTCAGCCTCCCAGAATGCTGGGATTACAGGTATGTGCCACTGTGCCTGGCTTCTTCTGACATTCTTAGTGTGCTTGAAGTTGATATCAATCAGAACAGCCTGGCAGAAGGCACAGAGCATGACCTTTGGACATGTCTGGGTGGGTGACTCCTCTCCCCAGCCTTGGCTTCCAGTCCACCTTGCCTCATTCTGGTGGTCTGATGAGGTGCTGTCCCTGAGGCCACGCAGAGTCCACTGTGCTTACTGTCCCTGTGCGCTTCTGCAATGGCCCTCAGGGTCACGGTGTCTCCCCAGAGCAACTTGCATCAGGTACAGCTCTGTGTGTGGATGCTGCTGTGCCCACAGCAGAGCTGATACCAAGCCTGTTTCTTAGTGCACCTGTTCTTGTCATGACAACCTGTGGTCAGATTCCTCAACCAATACAGAATCTTACCTCCTCATACATTCAGAGATCAGCTTGAAGGCTGCCATTTGTCGAACTGAGGAGGATGTCCTGAATGCTATTCTAAACTGTTCCTGAGAGCCTTTCCAGGCCCGTTTACACCACACATTCTGGGAGGAGGTGGGATCAGCAGCAAGATGCTGTGCTCAGATGTCACTTCAGATACAGGGCACAGGGCCCTCTGGAGGCCAGAGCCATCCCGTAGATGCTCAGGCTCCCGCAAAGACAAAAGCACAAACCTTTCCTTTCTCTTTGCAGCCAGGTGGCAGAGACTGGTTCTTGCTACAACTGCAGACTAGGACAAGTTCCTCTTTTCTATGACTGTAACACTATGAGCTGCCAGGGCAGCCCAAGTGCCCCATCTGCTTCCTCTTTCAGTGCCCACTGGGCCCCTGGCATAGCTTCTCCAGCCAGCATCCTGTCTTGGCCCTTCCCAGAGCCCTCACTTCTCCAAGTGCCTGTCAGGCCCTTGCCCCCACCGAGACCTCGACGCCACTCAGGTGAACTTCCTCTTCTAGCACATGCAGGCACCAGTGCATACATCCTGTGCAGTAACACTCAGGCTGAGCTGGCTCTGGTGATGCAGGCTCAATGCTCCAGGGACTCACTGATGATGAAGGAGATGAACCAGGGAGCAGCTCCAGGGCACAAAGTGACCGGTGCCACATGTGTCGGGTGTGGTGAGGATGCTGTGGTGGGAGGCATCACTCAGCCTTACTGAGGGGGCCCACCAGGCGGGTTTTCTGAGGTTCATGATCATATGCTGTCTACTGAGCAGAAGAGGGGTTCGTTAGATAGTGAAGGGGTGCTCTTGTCAGGCTCCCACTCTGGGATGGGTGCATGGCTTGGGGACAGGAGTTGTGCATTAAAAGGACCATGACCCACTCTTTAGGGTAGGCCCCTCTTGGTGGACAAAGGGCAGGATTTATGCAGGCTTTCATCTAGGAGGCAGTATGTCTAGAATCCTGAAGAGTTCTAAGGATGAAGGGGCTATAGGGAAGTGCAGTGTGGATCCCCTAGCCTCTGCTTGTGACTTAATACACTGAACAAAAAAGGGCATTTATACAAAGGTCCACACTGTGGTTTCTGGGGTCAGCAGTGATTATTTCAGAGGCTCCAAGTGGGATCAGGTCTTCTAGGTTCATCCTCAAACAAAAGTCATGAAGCTTCGGAAGTACTGTCAGAAGCATGGCGTAGACGACTGTGCACCTGACAACTGGGCCTGTGAGCTGAAAGTGACCCTCAGACCTAGGCCACCTAGGCCATGGTACCGTTCCACAGGTGAGCCAGAGCCGAGTCTGACCCCTCCCACTTCTGCAAACAGCCCGCCTCACATGACCCCATTGTTTGATTAGGGGAGGACCAGGCAGCTGATCCTGAAGTTATCTCCAGCTCTAATTTTCTTTCTTTGTTTTCTAGGTTTTTCCTAGGTAGTCCAGGCTGGCCTTCAACTCACTATGTAACCCAGGCTGGCCTCAAATTCATAACAATCGTTCTGTGATGAAGACCACTATGAAGAGGCTCTGAGCAGGACTGAAATTAACCAATTGGCTTTTCATGTTCACTTGTGAGTCTGCCCAAAACCTAGCCCCCTTGTGTGGAGATGGGCAACCAACTCATAGTAAGTGGACCTCAGTGAGTCACTGGCTCCATTGTGGCCTATAATGATAGATGGAGCCGTGGTGCCTCAGAGGACAAGACACAGCTAACAACACCTGGCTCCACCTCAGGTAACTGGGTAAAGACTTTAGCTGCAGGCATCTCACTCCTGCCATGAAAACTTTACTGGCGATAACAGTTCTCCTCATAAAGTCTTGAGTTTGGTTTCCAGTAAAAAAAAAAAAAAAAAAAAAAAAAAAAAAAA